AAATAAAATGGCTCCGTCCGTGTTAAAATATATTTTTAAAAATTTACAAAACTAAACATCCTACAGTATTTTTACAGTCTTTATTTTACAGTCAAAATATATGTTTATTAAATAAAGTCTAATGTTACAAATAATCAGGGATCCCTTTAAAACATTTAGTGTGGTAATAGCTGAGATTCACTTACAATATAAATTCAGAGCATGACATCTTATGATATCTCAAGATTGTAAATAGTTATTTTCAACATTATAATAAATATTGTATTTCTTAACCGTTCTTTATAAAGTAAAGTAAAAATTAAGATTATTTTTTTAAGAGAAACCTACAGTATTATCTGGGAACTGGACTGCTTACAGAAGATTTCAGTATCAAACACACACAGTACTGAACCGCAGTACTTCTTGTTGTTGTCTAGGTCTCAAGCCACATCCAGGTTTTAGCCAGACGGAAGGCCAGAGAGATCCAGGTGAAGCTGAAGGTACGCTACACACGTCAAATTTATGTTTGCAATCATTCCTCAAACTTGGAAGGTTTAATATAAAGTGTTTCTCCTGCTTGTTAGTTTTTTTAATCTAAGCATGTTAACTAATTCCAAAATAGTCTTTAAAAGTGAAAATACGTAAAAAGTCAAATTGTTAATAGAGATAAAAAATTAGCATTAGTTTTGTGCTAACTCCAGCCCTACCATCAGAGAGGTCCCCAGAATGTCTTCAAATGTTTGGTTCTTTAGGTGGATTTAAACTCTGGGAAGTGACAAACTTTTCTCACTGACATGATTGCATGAAGTGAACTGTGCACTTTTTTGTACTGCCTCCAAGAATCCATTCTGTGCACCAGGGTTGGGCAATACTGGCAAAAAATATTAATCATGATTGATTGTGGTATTTAGCCGATAACGATTAATTTGACGATAATCCCATGGAGTCCCTGGACACATGTCTTAGTCACATGACCAATATAGTGGGAAAAATTTGTTCCGAATTGTGTCAAAATTACAGACTTCAGGCTATACCTCAAATTTTAAATTCTGTTGATAGATAAATAAATTACAGAGCTTTTTTTAAAATGTTCTTCTTATTTTAGTCAGTCTGCCTGATGGTATTAATAATATTAATCATCAAGTGACAAAAAATAATGGATTGATGTTTTTCTGGCAATTAATTGCACACGATTCTGTTGGAAAAATATGCGTTGTTCAAAATGGTATGTCCGAACAAATAGCATTCAGCTGGGTTTCTTCTTTAAAACTTTATTTTCAGTCCTCTGACTCCAATCAGGTTCACAGAACAGCACTCAGCACACAGGCCTCAGTCAGACCTTGGGCTGATATCAGGAAAACCCAAACACAGCAGCACAACTCTGCTCAGAAGCAGAGACTCTAACACCCTGACAACTTTCTTTCTACTATAATAATGAATTC